GGCTCTGGGGGGGCGTGGCCATGGCTGGCATCACTTCCTGTAGCTGAGCTGACTCCGTGGGCGGGGCCATTGTCGACATCACTTCCTGTAGCTGAGCTGGCTTGGGGGGGGGTGTGGCCATTGTTGACATCACACCATCAATCTGTATTGAACATCTTAAGTGGCGCTTAATTATATTACACATTCTAATATTTTTTCAAGTTTTTTCCGTGGTTTTCTAGCGCCCTGCGAAAGTGTAAGAGTAACATGAAATGTGCCGTGTAATGATGCTGGATTTTAGCGGTCGTGATTTCACCTAAGCCTTCAGTCCGCCTCTGAATGGAAGCCTGTTCAAGTCAGCTGACCATGTTGTAGTGAGATGCTGGTGTCTTTGTCTCTTTGGTCCAGTACCTGGTGTCCTTGATCGAAAGCCGACTGGGATGGATGTGCGTCTTCTACTTTTTCATCGTCATGGTAAGACGGAGTATTGCAGCCTCATGACTGGGCGAGCGTCGCTTTCTGTAGGTGTGTTGCCTCTTTCCTGCCTAAGGAGGAGCTGGGTGAAAGCAGAGCTGCCATTTTTTTTAGGTTTTCAAGCCTTGTAGTTCTGTGCCTTGCGCCCTTTGATGTGAATTTGATCAACAGGGGTCCTCTCTCTCCCCTGCCTTGAAAACTATAATGGGTTTTCTCTAACCACATGGGTTTATTCAAATCAGGGTTAGGGATGGCTTCAAAGCATAATATTAATGATTTTTTGTCGTCTCTTACTCCCATTTGTTTTAGTTTTCTTGTTTTTGTAGAGAATGAAAAACATTATAATCCCCTACACTTGTATAGCGCCTGTCTGGACCCTCCACTCCGAGCTCTTCCCAGGTCAGGGGGAATCCCACTACCCCCACCAGTGTGCAGCCCCACCTGGATGATGCTCCAGTCCTCTCACACACACCAGCTCTCAGTGGGGAGGAGAGCAGAGGGATGGAGCCAGTTCAGAGAGGGGGGTTATTAGGAGGCCATGAGGGGTAAAAGCCAGGGGGGGAAATTTGGCCAGGACACTGGGGTAACACCCCTACTCTTGTCGAGAGACACCCTGGGATTGTTAATGACCACAGAGAGTCAGGACCTCGGTTTGACGTCTCATCCGAAGGACGGCGCCTGTTTACAGTCTAGTGTCCCCGCCACTATACTGGGGCATGAGGACCCACACAGACCGCAGGGTGAGCGCCCCCTGCTGGCCCCACTCACACCTCTCCCAGCAGCAGCCTCAGCTTTCCCAGGAGTCTCCCCTCCAGGTACTGGCCAGGCTCACACCTGCTGAGCTCCAGTGGGGGGGCTGCCAGCCGGGAGCTGCTGTAGGTTGATCCTGTGCTGTCGTGTCCCAAGTTTGACCCCTGCCTTCTGTGCTGGCAGACCTTCGGGAGCGTCCTCTTCATCTCGCCCCTGATCGTGAGCGAAGTGCGTTCCATGATCCGGGAGCGGCGCCTGCGGTCCCATCAGCTGTGAAACCGGCACACGGAGCCGGATGGGGACTTTTCCTGCGGCGCGCGGACCGACTGCGAGGCGTTTTCTGCCGCGGGGCTCCGATCTTCCGCAGAGGAGGTCGCCACCCCTGGGGGAAGATCTCCTCCCCAGCTTCTTTCCTCCTCCTCCTCCTCCTCCTCGCATGCAGGCGGCTCCCCTTTCCCGGGAACGATCTCCGAAACCCAGCCGGAGCCGCGCGGAGCAGCAATGGACAGACGAGATTCTGCATCAGTTTCCGGGCCAGATCGGGCGATATATCGCGGCGCCTGTCGAGATGTTTAAAAAGCCTGTGTGTTTGTGTGTGCGTGTGTTTGTGTGTGCGTGTGTTTGTGTGTGCGTGTGTTTGTGTGTGCGTGTGTTTGCGTGTGTTTGTGTGTTTGTGTGTTTGCGTGTGTTTGTGTGTTTGCGTGTGCTTGTGTGTGCGTGTGTTTGTGCGTGCGTGCGTATGTTTGTGCGTGCGTGCGTGCGTGCGTGCGTGTTTGTGCGTGCGTGCGTGCGTGCGTCGTGTGCGTGTGTGCGAATGGGGGGAAAAGGCCTGCTGTGGAGTAGTTCCTTCTCCGCTTGGGACGTCGAGTGTGAGAAACGAATCCGCTTTCTCAGGGCGGACGGAGCTCTGAAAACACCCCTTTTATTTTTACCACCTGTACCGAAAGGAGAGGCGGCCCGGGTTTAGAGATAACCTGGAGCCTCATCTCGATGTCTGTGCACCACTTGTGAGATCAGTGCGTCGTCCCGCCATCTGTGTTGCAGTCGTTCTCTTGAGCACTTTTAATAAGAGAGCTGTGTTCTCGCTGGCGTTTGAATTTAAAGGAGAAGTCCTGTGAGACTCGACCTCCCCCGTTTTCTTTTTTTTTTGTTAACCTGTTCCTTGACGTCCCCACCAGTTGTTTGTTGTGTGGAAAAACCCCAGATGGGACTCGCAAATGACACAACTGACATTCTGGAAGAATCTCAATAAATGTGAAATATCTTCCTGCTGAATGTTTTCGAAGTGCAGTGTTGAAGGATTCGGGATAATGAATACACCATAACAACCAGTTACATATATTATTTTGACATGAGTGATATTTACAAATTGTACAAACACAAGTTAGTAACATATACCACTTAAACACAAAGTTGTCCTTTATAAATGGCGCTATACAGCATTTGTTTCACTTAACTCGGATAAGATTTTGAACACACTGCAAGATAGGCTCAGACATCAGGGATACAACTTGATTATAAAAAAACAAGCTGAACGTTACTACCATTTCTTAAGTGAGTCCATGAAAGCTTTGGAAAACATTCAAATTAATCCTGAGAAAGACAACACCGTTTCTAACAGCTTCTTCCAGTTCAGGGTCACAGGGGAGCTGGAGTCTATCCCAGCAAGCAAAGGGCACAAGGCAGGGTACACCCTGGACAGGACACCAGTCCATCACAGGACACACACACACACACACTCACACCAGGGCCAGTCCATCACAGGACACACACAGACACACTAACAGACACCAGGGCCAGTCCATCACAGGACACTCACAGACACACTCACACACACCAGGGCCAGTCCATCACAGGACACTCACACACTCACACCAGGGCCAGTCCATCACAGGACACACACAGACACACACACACTCACACCAGGGCCAGTCCATCACAGGACACACACAGACACACACACACTCACACCAGGGCCAGTCCATCACAGGACACACACAGACACACACACACTCACACCAGGGCCAGTCCATCACAGGACACACACACCTGGGCCAATTTTCCCAGCAGCCACTTAACCCACCAGCCTGTCTTAGGGCTGTGGGAGGAAACCATAAAATAATTAATCCAGGGAATACACATGCCTCTGAGCGGGTTTGTCATTTGATGCGGAGGAGAACGGCCGGCTCTAATTAACTGGACGACCTGCTCCTGTCACAGATAAAGTGGAAAACCAAGAACATCTCTGAGTGTACTCAAGGTACAGTTCACTGAAAGACATTCGCTTAAGTCCGCTACTCATCATAAAATCTTCAGACATCACTCTTCAGGTGTTCAAAGGACGACCAACTGCGATGCAAAATCACACACAGTAGTGTTCAAAACCGCCCTAGTAATATTAAATGTAACTGAAACCAGTAACAAGTAAATAACATAAAATGCTACCTTGTGAATGTTACTTTCAATGGTACATATACGCCTCACAGTGTTCATTGTTTCCAGTGCTCAAATAACATTCAGAATATAGACGCTTATTTTCTGATCGGTTTAAAAAAAAACAACGTGCTACACAATTAAACACAAACGCGTATATACTGTATATATCCCACTTCAGCAAATGGAAAAGACCCTGAACAATTACTGCCATTGATTCTTAGCTTTAGATAGCCTGCACGATATGCTCTTAAATTTTGCTTAGATCTGAGGTACAGCTCTGATATAATGTGTTCATTTTGTACGAATGTGATCATTCTAAGCAGCTACACATTCAAACACGCAGGCTGTATAGATTCTGGGCATCTGATATATATACGGACCTTCTGTCTATAATATACTGGTGAAATACTCCGATTGCGTGACGGTACAGCGGGTTTTTTCTAAGAAACCGTCACAAGTCCCAGGCATTTCTGATGTTGCCGTCGGTGTGATTTTTGCCGTTTTTATCAAAACAGTGAAACGCACGGAGCACATTCGGAGCTCCGTCGGGATAGACCGGAAGTCAATCGCCTTAAGTGTCACAAACTGGCTCACAAAGCAGGAGAAAAAAAAAAAAGAGTTACAGTCAAGTGGGTGTTGAGGTCCAGGTGACTGGTCTTGAGGATCTTTGGGATCATGATCGAAACACGACGATCACACCAACTTCAGTACCAAGCACCTCATGGCTCCTTCTAAAGGCTCCAGGAATTGGAGGGGGCTTCTGCAGTCTGAGAATGTTTACGGGTGCCTTCAAGAGTTTTCAGATGACCGTAGAGGACACTGGACTGGTGGACATTTTCAGTGTCTTCCTGCAGAGACTCGAACACCTCCTGTCAGCATGTGCCCACCAGAACTCCGGGTCGGCAAAGATCCCCATGAAGGCAGACATACTGATCCGCTCCCCTCTCACGGGATCGGTGATCGACTGTCTGGGAAGCAGATCCCACATCCAGCCCCAGGGAACGGGGGGATCCACTTCCTCTCCGCGGCTCTCGGGCAGACCCGGAGGATTTTCCGGACGGGGGCGGACGCAGGTCTCCGGGCCTCCTTCCTGGAGAAGCGGGTCACAGGCGGGGGCAGCTCTCCTGACGCGGCGCCTTCTTCACGGCAAAGAAATCTGGGAAGGGAAAACGCGAGACACGCTAGGCCGTTAGTGTGAGAGCCCCGGACCCGATCCCTGAGAGATCCGCCTCAGCCACGTGCTATCCTGCTGATCCGTTCGGATTTCACAATCAAGCTGGCCGTGTGGTTTCAATAATGAGGCGTTTATGGGACCAGTGATTGTGTGTGGGGAGGAGTAATGTCCTCTTAAACCCCGGCTGCTATTGGCAGGGTGCCTGTGCTCCACCAACCAATCCATTCTCTAATGGCTTTATCCAG